ATGCAGAACCCAATTTAATCAAAAATTGGCGCCCCATATCACTAATAAATTGCGATTACAAAATAGCAGCTAAAGCTATTGCCAATAGATTTAAACAGGTTATCCCAAATATTATTAACTATGACCAAACGGGTTTTCTTAAAGGTAGATTTATTGGAGAAAATATTCGACTCATTGATGTACTAGGGCTTAAGCCACACAAAAACAAGAAACTAAACTTCCTTTTTTTGGTCACTAGATATTTTGTATGGATATGCAGAATGCGCAACATCTCTCCGGAAATAAAAAAACTTCCCCCTCTTCTTCTCACATTATAATGCATAAATCATTATTATAAAGAAAAACCATGCTTACACCAAGCACAACACGCATTTACGCATTTAGTGTTTTCTTTAAATCTGTTTACATATAATTTGATGTTTGTGTCCTTTTTTCCTGCACTTTTTTGTTTTCTTTTAAACTACCTTTTTTCTATAAATTTTAAGTAGTGCACTCTATACACTGTAAACGTTTTTGTTTTGTTTTGTTTTGTTTTAAAATATATAGTTATTTTGTTTAGTCGCTCTTCAAAAAGTATTGTTTTAAATATTGTATTGCACTGTAACGTACGTATTTGTAAAAAACAAAAAACGTAAGTAATGTAGCTATAGATGTAACTGTACTGTAAGTTATTTTCTGTAGCCGTGATGTAAGTAACATAGCTGTAATTAAAATTAAAAAAAAAAAAAAAAAAAGCTTATAAAAGATATCCGGGAGAAAAGTATGGAAAATAATGGCGATGAAATCGGTTCTTTTTCCTGAAGGACATGAAGCAATCCAGATTATATATTAACCATGGGGAGTTTCATTCAAGTGACAAGTTGCCATTTGCGCGTGGATAATAAGTTGTTTGAAAGGTGGAATTATGACATTATGACATTATTATTTCATTAAATCTTTTATTTCGAACTTTGTTATGATTTTTTCTTTATCAAGACATGGAAGGAAACATTGATTGACTCGATAGCACTGAAGCGGTGATAAGTCTCTCCTCGTCATATCCTATGCAAATTTTCTAACAGTTTTCTAACATGATGATTTTAGATATATGAAATTCATATATTTGCACTGCGGTGAAGAAACGAAATTAAGAGATCTTCGCAGCTAAGAACACTACTGAAACGAGTAGTTGAAAATAGGACCTGAAAAAAATTCATTTTTCAGTTTTCTGACAGTTTTCAGATGATTCGAAATATCTTAGGTCCTGTCACAAGGAAATGATAACTGCCCGAATCTGCTCTTTGTAAGGAGATGCCTATGTCGTTCAAATTGCTATTGTTGCAACTGGGTTTTACATGTAGTACTGCCGCTGACAAGTTACAATTTATACTCTCAGATTCTCAGTGTTTACGAGCGTTCAATCAAGGTTTTATTTTTTTTTTTTTGTTGTTGTTTTTTGTTTTGGTTGATTTTACTTCAGAAAGCGGAAGTCTGCTCACATATATGAAAAATATCCATTTCACGTCTTCTTTGAAGCGACCGATGGAACTTCATGGAGAAATACAGCGTCACGCCATCGTAATAACGTACATTTTTATGACAAATTACCGGTTTGAGGATATTTTCGTGTAGATCAGCCGACTTTAACATGTTTCAAATGACATACAAGTATAACAGTGTATCTTCAGAGGACTTCGGATTGCTCAAATTCCCATTAGAAGAAGGTGCAGCTCTCGGAATCTGGATGATATGCACACGATTTGAGGTATATGTTTGTAGTTACGTCGAGTAGTCCTCCACGAAGGTTGATCAATTTTTTTTAAAAGATGACAACCAGAGGCGAGATTCTCTTCGGGATATTGCTCATAAGATAACATTCTTTCAAAGCCTTCCATGTTTCATTTGTCTGAAATGTTTATGCAATATCTGATTTTGAGCTTTTTTCGCGAATTGCCCCTATAAAAAGTGGAGGTAGGCCCACAGAGATTTTTACATATTCAAAAACTAGAATATTATAACCAGCTAGGTGGGTAGTTTCAGTTCCAGAATCGGTGTACTTTTGGAGAAATTCAGATAAACATTTTCCTTGTTTTACCCGACAACAAAAATGACCGAAACTGTACCGAGATAAATAATCTATTGGTGTGTTCACATTCACTCCCACGGAGAATTAAATGTACCAGAGTGAAGACGAATGATGTCACTCTGTATGGTAGAAGTGCCAATTTGTAATGTTATATTTAGCTCGAGATAGAAAAATAAACATTTCACTCTTTTTTTGCGACGTTTTTGGATGAAAATAAGGCCCCAGGCCTCGAACAAGCAGCCGTTGTTACCATGGCAAGGGCATTTTTGTGCATTTTTGTGCATCTTTTTGTGTAACTAAAATGGGCGTAGATATCTGTTACTTACAGTTTAATCAACCCAGTGTTGTTATTGAAGACTCCAAGTGGTATCTTCTCTATCTGGTTGTTACCCAAGCCCCTAAGAAAAGATATTCCACGATGTTATTTAAAATTATACTACCTCTTGTGTGTTACTGCTGCTGCGTACATTTTTCGGTTGGAATGCAAATTATGATCTTGAATGTGAATGAACAAATATAAATATATATATATATCAACACTTTTAGAATGGTAAATCTTAGCTCCTCAAGGACTGATCTTAAAAAAACAACAGTCAGCTAAAGTGGAAATGTTTAAAGCAAAAGTTTACATTCTATCATGTACAAGTAATAAATATAGAAGTTAGGTTTACGTTGAGGTTTCCTCAAGTATCTCAACAACAACAACAACATCTTTTATTTAAACACGGCGGGTTTTAAAGCTAATATAGCTTATGGAGCCGTGTAAAAAATGTTCATCAAATAATAAAAATAAATAATTAAAATTATCAAAACTGAATGTAGTCAATAGAAAGTGGAATATGTACAATAAAAGATATGAATATGGTCAATACAAGGCGAAATCCCTGTCAATTTGGGGACGGCCCATTTGCGGTGGCTCTTCAAAGGGCGTGAGACTCTTTTGCCCTTTTGGCGTGGTGGCTATTTTGACCTTCTAAGTGACAAATAAAGAGTCCCAGTTAGCTGTTTTTCTTACATCCTCAGAGAGAATGTCGCGCGGGAGGATATATATAACTCTGGCGGCCCTACAATGTATTGATTCCAGAGAATTAAATTCGTTTTTGTTTGTACAACACCCCCAAATTGGTAGCGCATATGTAACCAAGGGTAAAATGACTTTAAAATATAGATCTAAAAGCGAATTCCTGGGTAATCAAAGTGCTCTGTGAGCAAACTCGTGAATTGACACATTTTTTTTGGATTATGTTTAATGTTAACTGGTTTAGGGAATTTTGTGGTTGATTGTCATATCTAGAGTACGAGCAGTAGTTCAGTGTTCGCTAATGTAGCAAAGAAACAAAGTAACGTTGGGATAAGAAGGCATTACAATTGAAATGATCATGCTATTACATTTGACAAGGGTTGATGATGTCATGTGTTTTAAACGTATATCATTTTTGTTTCTGGTTCAAAAGAAAAGATTGGAAGTAAATGTGGGTGAAAAGTGAAATTTACCGTCTATCATTATAAATATTAGAAAATCAAGGCAATACTGTCTTAATGAAAACATTAACGATTCCCTTTTTATCAAATGAGACAAACGAGAACGAGTTTTGAATGATATGACTAAGCCAAGACTGCCACCGTCATTTTGGATCTCCGCCTGGGTAGATTTTAGTCACATGCTAAGCAACGTATAATCAATAACAAGATAGAATTTCATTTCAGGCCTTTCGCATTTTAGTACGTAATATGTATTTTGAATCTTCAAATTGTCTTGAAACTTAAAAAATATTGTTCTTTAAAAATTCACTGAAAATCGCTAGCTAAAATTGTTTGTTTAGGTGTTATTCTATTTTCGTGTTAACTTGTAATTTCATCAGTCAACGGCATCTTTTGTTGCTTCACACAGGAAAAACACACGATACGAAACGTAGTGATCGATTTTGTCCTCAATCTCACGCCATAACAGAAAAAGCTTTTGAACATCTGTAAACTCCAAGCGCTTCGCAGTTAGTGATATTTTCAATGAATCTTCGGATTGTTTTCAAGTTCAAGGATTGTAAATTACAATTTTATGAGAAACGAAGGTTTTTTCTGTTATTTCAGTGTGAATCCTTGCATGTCTGCCAGTCGCTGGCGCCGCTTGTTGAAACTAAAACGAAAAAACTCTTTTAAGATTATCATTGGCTTCTTTTTCACCCCAGCATTACTCTTAGCAACAAAGGTCGCCATTTCGTTTGTTTATTGCTCGCCAAAAACTATCAAATGCACTCAAAAGCCTAAAATCGAAAAAAAGTTTAGAGGAATCGACAAATCGAGCGAGCGAGCGAGTGAGTGCGATTCCCCACATCGTATCTACAACTCGCTCTTGCGCATGAGCGCAATTCACGAGTTAAAAAGCGGCTGTGTTTGATCAGATTGAACTTGTTAACGAACCTTCTCTTGAGCTATGATATGTGTTTGGACTGATATGTTTCTGATATGTTTTCTCTAATGCATCTACTATAACATGGGGATCACTTCACGATGCCACTTTACAAGCGAAGCTAGTTATATTTTATTTACCTTGTGGTTGAAGACCCTCATTGAATATTTGCTCATAATCAGCAAATAAAGAGATTCTGAGCACACCACGATAACCCGTTAGAATAAACGTAAGCTTTTGTTTGGAAATAGCTTTGTTCATACCATGCTCGTTTTTTTAAATAAATTATGCCACCCTCAGTGCACCTTGTTGAAGGGTTGTACAAAGTGGTTATGAGAGTGAAGTTTTGCTCCTACAGCGGCCGCGTCTTGACCAATGACTTAAATAAGTCAACTGGTATTAAAAACCATCAACGACCATCTGTTACTCACCATGAATTGAGCCTGAAGAAACTTTGCCGATATCTAATAAATGAGGCGAATGTATGGATAATCGATGCAATCGTAAAGGTTTTAATTTATTACTCACAGATGAGTCAACTCTAAGTTGTTATTGAAGACTCCAAATGGCAACTGATTTATCTGATTGTCGTATATGTACCTACAAAAAGGATACACCATAAATTGAACTGAGGTTTGTCCGAAATTAGTTAGCCAATCTTTAACTTGTGTTGAAAATAGTAGCCTACGTGTAGCTCTACCCCCACCCCCCTGGTGAAACGGAAAGTAGGAACCTGATTACTGTTGTTCAGCAATGTGATCGTTCACATCACCATAATTATTTTAATTCTTGCCGCTCGTTTGTGTTCAGTTCAACATCTCCTACTGGTTCCCACCACGTGATGTTGTTAACCCGTTTTGCATGCGGCTAGGTTTATACCCACTTTTCAAGTTGAAGTCATAATATTTTGTGACGGCTTTATAGTTTAACGCGCCACGGAGATATTAAAAGGTCATAACGAGAAAAAGATAGGTGGTGGAAGAGCGGAGATGAGGTATAATTTATCAATTTCTGTACCGGGGAGAGAGGATTCTTGGAGATAAGCTGATACGCGACGGAGTAAAGAGTAGTGCTTAAAGTCTTTTCATTATTCGAATAGAGATGTGAAGTCCCTTGATTGAGCAATTATGTTATAAAACGTCTCAAAAGATCCAAAGTGTTTGCAGAATACGTCTATGGAAGGGCGGGCAATTAACCTCAAACTTGTTTCCAGAGTCCTCTCCTTTTAGAGAAGACCCTTAAACTGGAGCAAAAGCTCTTTTAGCTATACCTCTTAAATTCAAATTTGTTTTCGACGCTTGCCCTCGGAGCTCTCCAGCGTTTAGTTCCTCTAACCATGTTTTAGACGGAGTGGAATTGATTAGAAGGGGAATAGGATTTCAATTGTAAAATTTGGAACGGGGAAGTGGTAAATATGCGACCTTGGATATAGAATTTGGATCTCTATAAAGTCAATATCTTATAAGGTAAGTTAAGAGCTTCAAAGCTGAAGTCTCGAGCGTTAGCCTTTCGTCAGAGCGAATGACCACAGTTGCTTTCTTTCGAAACTTCCCCCCCCCTCGATATTTTATGCTCGTGATGGGTCTGTATAAGTCTGTAAGGTAAAGATGCGTGCTGTGGAACACGTAATTATAGATGTTATTTACTTACAGCTCAGCCAAGTTAACGTTGTTATTGAGTATTCCACGTGGTAGCTCTGCTATCTGATTGGCATGTAAGTTCCTACACAAAGGAAATACCCTGACCTTAGGATTTGTACAAAATTTTTAAATCAATCAGAGTCAGCTGGTGTTGCAATTGAAAAAAGAAGGTGCTCTTTGTTAGAAATGGAACTGAGACCTAGTCAATAGTGTTTACTATAAATGGATGAGGGTTAACAATTTAATCGTTTATATCAGTATAACTGTTTTGATTCTTGCATCTCGCTTGTTTTCAGTCAGTCGTTGGATGAGACTCTTTCTGAAGTAAGACTATTAATTACAGAAGTGATGTTGTAATGTTACGTTTTAGGCTTTATTTTTGCAGACCATAAAGGTTTAAGCATCCCTAGCCTCCTGCTATGAGAGGTTCCGTTTAAAAACACTTCAGAAAAATGTTTTAAAAATAGTTTGATCACAGTAGAGTTCTCTTGATTGTTTTGTACCAAGTAGATTGTGTTCGTTTGCCAGCTTTTGAAATGTATTGGAATTGAAATTGAATTCCTAAAAAAATTCAAACTGTGATTTGTTAATAGAGGGTGATTTATTTTTTCTTTTGGAACAGTGTTACAACCTTAGATAAAATAACATTGCAAAGACCATTCTTGATACTATTATTAGTTTGGGTAATAATATAGCTGAAATAATTAGACTTAGATCCCCTTCTTTAACTCTTTCGGTATTATGAGTGCAAATATGTTGGCTGCTTTCAAAGACGCGTTGTGATGGTTTGAAATAAAACTTGTAACAAACGTTTTCAAATCTGATTCTATAACTGTGATTATTACAGGCGAGTCAACTCGGTGTTGTAAGTGAAGACTCCAGGTAGTAGTGCTTCTATTTGGTTGCCATCCAGGTCTCTAGGAGAAGGATTCATTGGTTTTTATCTGAAGTCTCTTCTCGGCTATCGACACCCAGATTTCCAGATTGGAACTGCGTTTGAAATAATAAATGCCTTAAGCTAGAAAACCACCTGCAGTGGCTCCTCTTACACGAAAATGGGCATTACTTCATTCTCGTTGACGTACATTCTCGCTGGCCTTGAGATCAAATATGGATTGCCAGTACATCTGTACATAGGTCCTCAATTTCGAAGAGAAGAGTTTGCACATTTCATGAAAGTCAATGGCGTCAAACACGTACTTGTTGCTCCTCATCACGCAGCTGGTACTGGCTTGGCAGAACGGATGGTTCAGTCATGAACCACATGAAGGCCGGCAAAGGTAGTAAACTGTCGATTCAGCAACGTATTGCCAACTACCTGTTGACTTACCGGTCAACAAGGCATGCTACCACTGGCAGAACACCACCTGGCCTATTCCTGGGACGAGAGTTACGCATCCGTTTAACTGTTCTTCGCCCAAGTGTTTGGGAAAAGGTGATGGATTCACAAGCAAAGTAGAAAGGGACACTCACTAAGTTAAGAGAGTTCTACTTAAGTGACAGAGTCCTTGTTGAAGAACATAGGAAAAAGCACACTTGGTGGCCTTGCTCCATAGCTGCGCGGAGCGGACTGAAGTATTACGTAGCAGTGCTTAATCAGTGGTCGAATTTGGAAGCGACATTTGATCATATTAGACGGGATACCATGGACAATGGTGTCTCTACGGGAATTGACAAGGAGTCACGGAACACTGTCCAAGACCCTGTTGAACAAGACACTTTTGGTGCAGGTATTCCTTTACCTGAAAAGCTGCCCATGAACACGCCGGTTATGCAGCCTGTTGATTCTGAAACCTCAATTCATTTAGAGAATGAGAGTACGTCTTAATCAGCAAGAAAAGAAATCATCTTCAAATAATAAATGTGTTTATTATAGGCGAGTCAACTCGGTGTTGTAAGTAAGTGACTCCAGGTAGTGGTGCTCCCATGTGATTGCCATCCAAGTCCTTACGAGAAGAGTATATTTTTTTCATCTGAAGTCTATTCTGGGTTATTAAGTACTAGATTTTCAGATTAAAACAGTGTTTGAAATGATAAATGCCTTAAGTTAAACATGAAACAGACCCGACCAACAATGTTGTTTATAAATGAATATGTTCACATCACCATAACTATTTTGATTCTTGCCTCTTGTTTATGTTCAGTCGTATCAGCCTCACAGGCTCCTACCGGTCATGTTAACGTAAGGCAGTCGACCACGTGATGTTTTACCCCAGTTTTGCCAGAAGATAGATTTTAACTCGGTTTACGGGTTAAAGTCATGACGATTTCATAGTTCTATGTGCCACGCAGATAGTAAAGGGTTATCAGGGGTCAAAGAGGGGTAAGGGGAGAGGGGTGGACGAGCTTTGGCCTTATTCGTTCTTGTACCGAGGAAGAGGGATTCCAGGAGCTAAATCTGATGTGCGACTGAGAAAAGAGTAGAGTTTTAGGTCTAAACAACATTTGAACAATGTTACTGAACAATTTGTTTGCAAATTACGTCCACGGAGTTCTCCCCTTTGAGAGAATACTCTGGAAACTGCAGCGGATGCTCTCAGAACTAGACCTCTTCACATCAAATTACTTCCGAATGTCTAATTTTTTAGCTCTCCTACGAGTGAAAAATAAATATATATTTTTAAGGAACCTAAACTAGTGAGTAGCATTCTTCGAACATTAGTTGTAAAACTTCTTTATTAATCGACGCGTTTCGTCTAACTGTCATAGACATCTTCAGAGAGTTTTGCGAGGTAATGCTAAGCGCTTGTATTTAAAAGTCATACTATGGCTATTACGGAGGCCAATGATGATATAGGCTCGGCCGGACTTACTAACAGAAACAAGCAAAGTTGTGGAAACATTAAAAAGATTTTTTTTGATGCGAGGTGAGAAAAATATTTGGGGGCCAACAGTTGGACGAAACGCGTCGGAGAATAAGCAAGTTTTATAACTACTGTTTGTAGAGACCTGCTCACTAATTTAGTATTTAAAAAGTTTGTTTCTAAAAATTTATGGGAATGTTTTTTAAAAATTAATTAATTTTTTTTAAATTGGGTTTGAATTTGATGGTTAGGCAGCTGAATCGATGGATATATCACTGCGTAACTTCTCAAACTTACTGTCTTACTGTAAATTAGCAGGTAAATTTTGTTCTTCTGCAGTGTAATTGGACTTTTAATATTAAGCTTTTTCGGATATCTGGTAAAATTTAGGACCATGATTTGGCGATAAAAGATACATTTTTTTTCTTTTAAACAATTTGTGAATGTAACAGGATTGATAACTTTGGAAATGAAATTGAAACCAGGATTTATTCAAATGTGAGCTGGGATATTGGATTTGTATCCCACCAGTTTGTACTTCGATGTTTTATTCGTGCGCTGGATTCTGTATTAATCGTTTAAAAATGTGTCGTGATACATGCATTAGAGGTTATTTGCAACACTGCCCATAAAGACGTTTTTGCTGAAGGTTACTGGTTTGATAATAAATATTTGAATATCTACTTCAGGAGAGTCAGCTTCGCGTTTGAGTTTACTGTCATATGGTGGACAACGACCACTGAACTTGAATAAATGTTTGCCTACATTTAGTAATTCAAGATATTCTACCCACATTTGCATAAATAAAAACAGAATCAAATCGATACAAAATTTAACACTATAATGATTCCCGAAACTCTGAGCACATTACGATGGCGGGTCAAAATAAACGTAACCAGTTCAATCTCTTATGAAACTGAAAATGATTTATTAGAGAGGGGAGTTTGCTCTATTCATTTGCCACTGTGCAAATTTGATTCACGCCAACGGTAATTTTTTTCATTCATTATTCACTGGAGATAATGATCAGTCTTATGTTAACCAGCGATTGATTGAAAGTGAGTCATGTGACACTTGAAATAGTTTATATATAAGGAAGACTTTTCACTTACAGCCACTGCAGCTTGACTAATTGGGAAAATAAGTCGCCTGGCAAACTCTTCAACTTGTTGCCGTTTAACCACCTGTAAGTTTTGGAAACTTTGCATCATTAATACATAAAAATGTATGAATCATATTCGCGGTGTAAAAAGAAATGCAGAGGGCGATGCCCGTTCTTCAGAAAGGAAACGCTTGCAAGTGCCTCCCTCATTATACTGGCTCCCCCGATGCAAACCGATAAAACATCGTTAACAAGGGAATAGAAAATAGGATTTACAAAACGAGGACCACCGACATATGCTGGGAAATGATCATTCATTAAACTTTCCAAATACAAACCGTCCCACCCTCTTTCATTTTCTTCATGGTTGACTACACCTACAAAGCTTGAGGACCGTCTTGATCATATTAAGTAAACACTGACATTACACTCTTAGCACATCGAAGGTTAATATCAAAAATGGGCGTGGATATCTGTTACTTACAGTTTGATCAACTCAGTGTTATTATTGAAGACTCCAGGTGGTAGCTCCTTTATCTGGTTGTCACTTAAGCCCCTAAGAAAAGATATTCCACGATTTTATTTAAAATTATACTACCTCTTGTGTGTTACTGCCGTTGCGTACATTTTTGTAATGCAGTTTATTTTTGCCGTGCCTGGGTCAAATAAACTCTATTGTCTAAACTCTAAACGCTATTATTATAATCTTGAATGTGATGGAACAAATATATATATATATATATATATATATATATATATATAGATTTCCCGACAAGCCTGTTTCGTGAATCG